TGTTAATTGGATTACTGTTACAGTGCTATTTGGGTTGTTAATTGGATTACTGTTACAGTGCTATTTGGGTTGTTAATTGGATTACTATTACAGTGCTATTTGGGTTGTTAATAGGATTATTGTTACAGTGCTATTTGGGTTGTTAATTGGATTACTGTTACAGTGCTATTTGGGTTGTTAATTGGATTACTGTTACAGTGCTATTTGGGTTGTTAATAGGATTACTGTTACAGTGCTATTTGGGTTGTTAATTGGATTACTGTTACAGTGCTATTTGGGTTGTTAATTGGATTACTGTTACAGTGCTATTTGGGTTGTTAATTGGATTACTGTTACAGTGCTATTTGGGTTGTTAATAGGATTATTGTTACAGTGCTATTTGGGTTGTTAATTGGATTACTGTTACAGTGCTATTTGGGTTGAGTGGATTAGTTCAGATATTTCTTGATGTTTTGTTTTTTCTTCTGTTTTTTAGTTTTTTTAAATTGATTATTTGTGTACCTGTTACATTTTACTACATTGTTAGAAGCTAGTAACATAAGCATTTTGCTGCACCCGCTATAACATCTGCTAAACTGTGTACGCAACCAATAATATTTCATTTGATTTGACCTCAGGGAGCCTCACAGAGGACTGCAGTAGAATGGAGGACTACAGTAGATGCTAACACTAAGGCCTCACAGAGGACTGCAGTAGAATGGAGGACTACAGTAGATGCTAACACTAAGGCCTCACAGAGGACTGCAGTAGAATGGAGGACTACAGTAGATGCTAACACTAAGGCCTCACAGAGGACTGCAGTAGAATGGAGGACTACAGTAGATGCTAACACTAAGCCACTGACAGTAGCTTAGAAAGCAACTATAAAGAGCTCCTCTCTGCTCTTCCAAATGACACACGTGTAGAAAATAGGATTTTGAATGGGACTGAATTGTGTGTCCCCACAAGGTTAGCTGTACAATAGTGTGTGTGTGTGTGTGTGTGTGAGAAGGAGAGAGAGCAGGGCCTAGGTTCCTTTAGTGAGGAGTCCTTTCAGAGCTGTGTGTGTGTGTGTGTGTGTGTGTGTGTGTGTGTGTGTGTGTGTGTGTGTGTGTGCGTGTGTGTGTGTGTGTGTGTGTGTGTGTGTGTGTGTGTGTGTGTGTGTGTGAGAAGGAGAGAGAGCAGGGCCTAGGTTCCTTTAGTGAGGAGTCCTTTCAGAGCTGTGTGTGTGTGTGTGTGTGTGTGTGTGTGTGTGTGTGTGTGTGTGTGTGTGTGTGTGTGTGTGTGTGTGTGTGTGTGTGTGTGTGTGTGTGTGTGTGTGTGTGTGTGTGTGTGTGTGTGTGTGTGTGAGAAGGAGAGAGAGCAGGGCCTAGGTTCCTTTAGTGAGGAGTCCTTTCAGAGCTGTGTGTGTGTGTGTGTGTGTGTGTGTGTGTGTGTGTGTGTGTGTGTGTGTGTGTGTGTGAGAAGGAGAGAGAGCAGGGCCCAGGTTCCTTTAGTGAGGAGTCCTTTCAGATCAGTGCTAGAGGGCTGGTGTTGATGTTGTTGTTGGCTGGCCTCCTAGCCATCTGGGCTCTGTCCACTACTCCCTCTTTCTCTGGTGGTGAGAGCACTAAGACAGGGAACAACATTGAACACTGCTGGGAACAGTCAGAGAACATGCTCACAGGATCCTGTCTTTAGGGAGAGTTCCGGGCCTATAGCAAGTCTTAGCCTAGTGAATGTCCTGTCTGTCCCAGGTAATCAGAATGATCCACATTGAGCTCAGTGGTTTCTTCTGACTGAGAGGGGAGGGACCAGTGGGACTCTCCCTGTCTGTGACGGAGTTATACTCAAATTGATATTCTTGCAAATCAGTTGTTGGAGCCCAGAGACCAGTCTTCTCCAGACTCTCACATACCAGATGAATCAGTTGTTGGAGTAGAGACCCGTGTTTTCTCCTCTCTCCACATGTAGTTCTACTCTCCACTGCCACACTGTGGTGACAAATGGAAATGGAGCTTTCTATGATACCACAGATTCTTGTGTCTGAACATATTGTTCTTTCTTAAAAAAAGCACAACTGCCCACAACAATAGGACGTAGTACGGAATACCTTCGTGTTCACTGTGAACATAGGCTACAAAACTTGCTGTGGTTGTTTTTAGCATTTGTGGCTGCTTTTTTAAGTTGAGTTTCCCCTTGTTTCTGAGCCCTGCTCTCTCTCTCTCTCTCTCAGCTCTGTTACAGTGTAGAGCTTGAGGGCCTTTGAGCTTCTCGCTGCGTCATGTTCTGTTCAGCTCTGAGGTAAAATGACCCAACTTTCTCCGACTCTGCTACAGACCCACAAACCCACACCGCAAATTAGTGGGTGTTACGAGCTTGGTGTTGAGGTAAAAAGTACTTGTGAGTGTCATATATCTGAGTGTTGATTCTAGTGGGGTTAACTCCAGTCTGATTTCAATTGACACCACCTGCAGTAAATCAATTAAGTGTTATTTGAATCACAGCGAAAATAAACACTGCGTGACGTTGTTGTTACTCAACTGTGTTGAGTTAATTTCCGTAATTTTTTTTCAGTGTGAAAAATACATGCCAGCGGCCTCATTATCATATTTCCGAGCATGCTTTGTTGCAGGTAGATTTTTAGAATAGCACGTTTTAATATCAATTTCTGCATGCACATTGATTGATTAATTGATCTAAGATAAATAGCTAAAAAAAATCTAGTTTTTTTGTTTGTTTGTTAAGTCCTTAACCATAGCAGTCATTCTAAATGCAGATTGTGGGGGATTAAAATGGTTGAATATCCTCCCTATGGCTGGAATCCAATAGGAATTACAAAAATACTTCACAAACCAGCAAATTGTGACTTGCAGGTCTTATATGGTAGTCTGGTTAACGCCTAACTCTCAAAGTCCTCCTGACTTCAGAGTCTGGAATGATGTTGTTGGCATAATGAAGGGGCTTTTACTCTGTGTCCTTCTCACTCAAACACCCCTTCCATTACAACGGTTTGATTTTCAAATCCAAACAACGAGAGATCTCAACCCCCCGAGAAAAAAAACTAAAACATTTGAGAGAACCACTTTGCAGCTGGCTAATCTAGCGGTGCAAAGCTGTCATCAAGGCAAAGGGTGGCTACTTTGAAGAATCTCAAATGTAAAATATATTTTGATTTGTTTAACACTTGTTTGGTTACTACATGATTCCATATGTGTTATTTCATAGTTTTGATGTCTTCACTATTATTCGACAATGTAGAACATAGTACAAATTTAGAAAAACCCTTGAATGAGTAGGTGTGTCCAATCTTTTGGCTGGTACTGTACGAGTTAGCCTATTGACAATAGTCTGATGAGTGACAATATCATCAGTTGTCAAATTTTACAGGAAGTGATGTGCCCAGATTGGAAGTGACACATGCAGGGAAAGAAGCATCACTTTATCAAATCCTCCTTCAGAGTCACATGCAGGTAAGACGTTTTGATTTCTACACAGTATCAGAAAGAGCATATTCTGCAGTTTCTAATATCTTGGGATGTAGCTCAGTTGATAGAGCATGGTGTTTGGTGTTTGCAACGCCAGGGTTGTGGGTTCGATTCCCACAGGGGGTATGAAAAAAATAAAAATAATGTATGCACTCACTAACTGTAAGTCGCTCTGGATAAGAGTGTCTGCTAAATGACTAAAATGTAAATGTTTGTCAAATAGCTCTCAAAATTTAAAGAGGTGCAGCTCTATTTCCAAATGTCACTTTTTCCAAGATTAACCACGCGGTCCATGCATTCAGCACACGACCACTCGCGGGGCATCGTTACTCAGGCTACTAAGCAACGACTAGTAACATAATAAACCCCTTCATCTACACCGATTTAACAGGAGACATCAATAAGGGGTCATAGCTTTCACCTGGATTCACCTGGTCAGTCTGTGTCACAGAAAGAGCAGGTGTTCTTAATGTTTTGTAAACTCTGTGTTTATAACAGAGCCAGTACCAGATCAGTGTGCAGGGATACTGGAGTATTGAGGTAGATACTGTGTGTGCATGTATGTGGAGGTTAGGAGAAAAAGACTGGTAGCAGGATACAGAATAACAACAGTAAACCATGGCGTTGTTGAATACTCCTTTCTGATTGGCTTGAAGAGGATTCTAGAGCGTGCATTATTTCGCTATAATGCAGGTATATTAGCAAGGTAGAATCCAATGGCTGTATTTCATTCTTACACGTTCTATGTTTGAGCTGCTTTTGAAAGCAAAAGTCCAATTGAAAACATTATTGGCATTGTTGAATTCGATTTTCATGACAGCAAGCTAGGACTGATGTTTTGGTTAGATAAAAGAGCAAGTCTGTTTGTTTGGTTACCACAGAAACTATTGTAGCTATCTAGTAAATTTGCTAGCTACTTCAGTGGATGTTGAACACCGTTTCTAGCGGCAAATGTGTTAAATTATAGCCATGGAATAAAAGGGATGATCAACTCATGGCTCTATACGTTCTCTGGAAAATAATGCAACTCAGTTCTCTGCTAGCGCGTTGTGGAACACACCTTCCACATCGTTCATTATTTTCCAGAGAACGCATAGCCCCTCGTTGATTATCCCTTACATAATGCTAGCGAGCCACAGACTAAAGTGGCATAGCCCCTCGTTGATTATATAGTTCCTTACATAGTACACGGTATTTACATTTACATTTTAGTCAGGTGGGTGGGTACAATGTGGTGAGTGTGTGTATGTTAGTGTGAGTGTGTGAAATTTAATCAATAATAATTTTGGCAGCAGTTTAGGTGTGAGTGAGAGCAGTTGTTAGCCATTTAACAGTCTTATGGCCAGGGGATAGAAGCTGTTTAGGAGTCTGTTGGTCTCGGGCCTTGATGCACCGGTACCGCCTGCCGGATGGAGAACAGTCCACGTCTCTGGCCTTTCTCAGACACCACCTGGTATGTACATCCTGGATGGCTGGGAGCTCACCTCCAGTGATATGGTGAACTGGGAGCTCACCTCCAGTGATATGGTGAACTGGGAGCTCACCTCCAGTGATATGGGGAAGTGGGAGCTCACCTCCAGTGATATGGTGAAGTGGGAGCTCACCTCCAGTGATATGGGGAACTGGGAGCTCACCTCCAGTGATATGGTGAACTGGGAGCTCACCTCCAGTGATATGGGGAACTGGGAGCTCACCTCCAGTGATATGGGGAACTGGGAGCCTACCTCCAGTGTTATGGTGAACTGGGAGCTCACCTCCAGTGATATGGGGAACTGGGAGCTCACCTCCAGTGATATGGGGAACTGGGAGCTCACCTCCAGTGATATGGTGAACTGGGAGCTCACCTCCAGTGATATGGTGAACTGGGAGCTCACCTCCAGTGATATGGGGAACTGGGAGCCTACCTCCAGTGTTATGGTGAACTGGGAGCTCACCTCCAGTGATATGGGGAACTGGGAGCTCACCTCCAGTGATATGGGGAACTGGGAGCTCACCTCCAGTGATATGGTGAACTGGGAGCTCACCTCCAGTGATATGGTGAACTGGGAGCTCACCTCCAGTGATATGGGGAACTGGGAGCTCACCTCCAGTGATATGGGGAACTGGGAGCTCACCTCCAGTGATATGGTGAACTGGGAGCTCTCCTCCAGTGATATGGTGAACTGGGAGCTCACCTCCAGTGATATGGTGAACTGGGAGCTCACCTCCAGTGATATGGGGAACTGGGAGCTCACCTCCAGTGATATGGTGAACTGGGAGCTCACCTCCAGTGATATGGGGAACTGGGAGCTCACCTCCAGTGATATGGTGAACTGGGAGCTCACCTCCAGTGATATGGTGAACTGGGAGCTCACCTCCAGTGATATGGTGGGTCAACTTTATGTGGGTAAGAATAGTCAGTTGCCCATTGAGCTTTTCAATGAGCTTTGCAAAGCTTTGCAATTAAGACACATTTGGTTGTAAATGTTCATTGAAATACAAAGGGCTTATGCTTCCAAACATACTTGGACAAAATATATATAGGCTCTAACTTGTATTACCAAAAATCTATGTTATGACGTAAATCCACCTCGAGACCGATGGAAATAAGTTTGAAAGGCATGCATTAGCGTGGAGTGATGGATTACTCGAAACTTCAAGCCTCATTACTCTGTTTAGTTTGTATAAAATGTATTGTCCTCTGGCTCCGAGGGGCCAGTCCCCTGTAGCTCAGTTGGTAGAGCATGGCGCTTGCAACGCCAGGGTTGTGGGTTCGTTTCCCACGGGGGGCCAGTATGAAACATTTATGCACTCACTAACTGTAAGTTGCTCTGGATAAGAACGTTTGCTAAATGACTAAATTGTAAAAAATGAATGTAACCCGACGGTGACACAGGCTTGTAACTGCATCTTTCACCAGGCGACATGACATTGTGATTGTAACTTAGTCATGACTAAGGGTATAAGTCTCCTAACGGATCAACGTCACAAAAACATTACAGAGCAACATTATGACAGGGGAAATAGCTGTCCAGTTGGGTGGTGTATGGACATTATGACAGGGGAAATAGCTGTCCAGTTGGGGGGTGTATGGACATTATGACAGGGGAAATAGCTGTCCAGTTGGGGGGTGTATGGACATTATGACAGGGGAAATAGCTGTCCAGTTGGGGGGTGTATGGACATTATGACAGGGGAAATAGCTGTCCAGTTGGGGGTGTATGGACATTATGACAGGGGAAATAGCTGTCCAGTTGGGGGGTGTATGGACATTATGACAGGGGAAATAGCTGTCCAGTTGGGTGGTGGTGGTGGCAGGGCTTTAGTTGGGTGGTGGTGATGGCAGGGCAGTAGTTGGGTGGTGGTGATGGCAGGGCAGTAGTTGGGTGGTGGTGATGGCAGGGCTTTAGTTGGGTGGTGGTGATGGCAGGGCAGTAGTTGGGTGGTGGTGATGGCAGGGCAGTAGTTGGGTGGTGGTGATGGCAGGGCAGTAGTTGGGTGGTGGTGATGGCAGGGCTTTAGTTGGGTGGTGGTGATGGCAGGGCAGTAGTTGGGTGGTGGTGATGGCAGGGCAGTAGTTGGGTGGTGGTGATGGCAGGGCAGTAGTTGGGTGGTGGTGGTGGCAGGGCTTTAGTTGGGTGGTGGTGGTGGCAGGGCTTTAGTTGGGTGGTGGTGATGGCAGGGCTTTAGTTGGGTGGTGGTGATGGCAGGGCTTTAGTTGGGTGGTGGTGATGGCAGGACTTTAGTTGGGTGGTGGTGATGGCAGGGCTTCAGTTGGGTGGTGGTGATGGCAGGGCTTTAGTTGGGTGGTGGTGGTGGCAGGACTTTAGTTGGGTGGTGGTGATGGCAGGGCTTTAGTTGGGTGGTGGTGATGGCAGGGCTTCAGTTGGGTGGTGGTGGCAGGGCTTTAGTTGGGTGGTGGTGGCAGGGCTTTAGTTGGGTGGTGGTGATGGCAGGACTTTAGTTGGGTGGTGGTGGCAGGGCTTCAGTTGGGTGGTGGTGGCAGGGCTTTAGTTGGGTGGTGGTGGTGGCAGGGCTTTAGTTGGGTGGTGGTGGTGGCAGGGCTTTAGTTGGGTGGTGGTGATGGCAGGGCGTTCTCTACTTCATTCTGTCTGACTTCTCACCAGTCTGAGAACAGGACTGGGCCTGTGCCATGAAAGGAGCCTCATCTGATGCCGTAGGGGTGGTGTGATCTGATGCCGTAGGGGTGGTGTGTTTGCCATGCCTCCGCTGGCCCACGTACAGTACACACCTGCTCCAAACACTGGGCCTCAACACAATGTCCACACAATGACACACACACACACACACACACACACACACACACACACACCAGCCTGATCACTAGAAATAGATTTCGATTTCAGACATTTTAAAAGGTCCTGAGAATGCCTTCCTCTGTGCTCACAGACAAAAAGAAGAAAACCGATTGGCCAGCACTGGGCTCAGACCAGAAAGCACTGGGCTCAAACCCTCAGAGCCGAACCACACTGCTCTGACCACTGCAACGCGGCAATTCACAATTATCTAGCAAGTTGTGAGAATACTTGGTGATACTTGATGGTACTTGATGATACTTGATGGTCATAGCGAGTCATTTTTTATTATTTTGTTTTAAGCCTTCCCCAAACCACAGCCCTAACCTTAACCACTCGGAATTAACGCTTGAACTGTTAACCTTTAGAGTTGTTTCTGTTTTAATCCTGTAACCAGGCAGAATTAATGCCAAGCAAATTGACATTCATCCATAACAAGATGTTATTTTCCCAGGTATCATTGTCACTGTGTGGCTTTTTGAAAGCAGAGCCACGTCTGAACATGAAGCCCTGCTTTCCATATGAAAGGCATTTAATTAAAACTGATATTCATTTAAAGTGTTCACCTGACCCAGAGCAGCAACATGAATAGGTTAGTGCTCTCTGCTTGCTAAGAGACACAGACTGCAGAGGATACATCTGCATGGCGTGCGAAGCCTCCAGAACCTAACAAAGGGTCAGAGCAGTGGCACAGTGCAGAGGTGTGGGTGGCTGTTTGCTCTTCATCCTTCCGTGAGACTATCGAAGAGGCTTATCAGATGAAACTGGAGAAAGAAGAGTATGTTTACCAATGGTCTTGCTTGCAAAAGCTTATGACAAGGCGGAAGTGGGAAGATACTAGTTTACCAACTGTACAAGCCTCCTTGTTGTTGGTCTTGGTGCTGTCTGAGGTAGGTGGAGTGGAGAGTGATTGGGGTTGGCAGACATCACTGAAGGGTCAGAGTGATTGGTTTATCAGATGAAACTGAAGAATGACAGGATGTTTACCAACCATGATAGCCTCCTTGTGGTCTGAGACTGTCTGAGACTGCCCGAGGATGTGCAGAGTGATTGGAATTGGCTTGTAACGCATTGGCAGACATGGTTGGGAAATGCTGGTGAAATAGGACCTATAGCATTTTCAGAAACATCAAGATCGCCAGTGTGCTGGATTTATCCATTCTTTTCTGGGATTGGGAAGACATGGCTGCAGAGATGGAGGTGGAGAGGTTGCATGGTCCTCGTTGGCATCGTCTGTGTCCGCGGAGGAAGAACACGCATGGTCTCTCCTGCAGGCTGCTGTGCTGCTGCTCCTGGGTGGGAGGAGAGGAGAAAGACCTACTACCAGGCCAGAGCCAGCGAGGGCAGAGCAGGGAGAGAGATACCCAGCTAGACTGGACTAGTCTGGGGGATGACCAGAAAGACCAGGGGATCTCAGGGGAGAGAGAGGCCAGGATCGTCACCCTGACCAAAGAGGAGGAGGAGAAGGATGTGAAAGAGGAGGAGACACAAGTCCAGATGTTCAGTACTGTTAGTCCATCTGCCAGCTCTGTGTCGGCCGTCCGCAGGGCACTGCAGAAGAAAAGACAGCTGAAGCCTCTGTCCTCCCTTCCACTCCGGCCTGGAGGAGACCGGCCTGGAGGAGACCGGCCTGGAGGAGACCGGCCTGGAGGAGGCCGGCCTGGAGGAGACCGGCCTGGAGGAGGCCGGCCTGGAGGAGACCGGCCTGGAGGAGACCAGCCTGGAGGAGACCAGCCTGGAGGAGACCGGCCTGGAGGAGACCGGCCTGGAGGAGACCGGCCTGGAGGAGGCCGGCCTGGAGGAGACCGGCCTGGAGGAGACCAGCCTGGAGGAGACCAGCCTGGAGGAGAGAAGACAAAGAGGAGAAGCCCAGCCAGAAGGGAGGAGCCTGGGGCAAACCAGAGGAGAAACATTACAAGTGAGGGGGAGCAGGAGAAGGAGGTGGAGGTAGAGGAGAAGGAGGTGGAGGTAGAGGAGAAGGAGGTGGAGGCAGAGGAGAAGGAGGACTCCATTCTGTTTGACACACCTGGCTGCTCAGGTACAGGTAGCCTGCTCACCCCACCTGTCATCAACCTGATCCCTCCCACTCCCTCTGACGTCATCGATGAAGACCAGTTCTTTGATGACATCATCTCTGACGAGGAGAGTGTGGAGCACACGTCTGGGACTGGTAGTGATGGGAGTACCAACACAGCCGGAGACCAGGAGGAGGAGGAGGAAGAGGAGGGGACCAAGACAGACACGGAGAACCAGGAGAGGCAAGCGGTGGATGGGACTAAACGGTATCTAGGAGACCAAGACCTGGAGATGTTCCTTCAAGCTCCAGCCCCTGAGGAGGAGAAGGAGAGACCCAAGCCCAGCTACCTCCGTAGTTACCAGGTGGCCCCTCTACCTGACTACCCCCGGAAGAGTGAGTCTTACATTCCTACCACTAGGACCTACTGTACTATGGTCAAATAATCTCTACAGCACACTTCTACTGTCACATCCCTCAGCAAAATATCTACTACAGTCATAACTAGGACCTACTGTATTAGTCACATCACACAGCACAGGACCTACTACAGTCATAACTAGGACCTACTGTATTAGTCACACAGCACAGGACCTACTACAGTCATAACTAGGACCTACTGTATTAGTCACATCACACAGCACAGGACCTACTACAGTCATAACTAGGACCTACTGTATTAGTCACACAGCACAGGACCTACTACAGTCATAACTAGGACCTACTGTATTAGTCACGTCCCACAGCAACAGGAACCTACTACAGTAAAAAAAAAACCCCTAGGACTACTGTATTAGTCACACAGCACAGGGAAACCTACTTACAGTCATACTAGGACCTACTGTATTAGTCCCACAGTCAGAGACTCTACAGTCATAACAGACCTACTGTATTAGTCACATCACACAGGCAGCACAGGACCTACTACAGTCCATACTAGGACCTACTGTATTAGTCCACTCACACAGCAACAGGACTACTACACAGTCCATAACTAGAGACCTAAGATTAGTCCGTCACACAGCACGGACCTACTACAGTCTAATAGGACCTACTGTAATTTATGTCCACGACACAGCACAGGACCACTACGTCATCCTAAGACCTAATGTAATTAGTCCCACATCAACACAGCACAGGACCTACTACAGTCCAATAACTATGACCTAACTTTATTAGAGTCACGTCACACAAACAGCACAGGACTCTACATACATTCTCACTAGGACCTAACTGTATAGTCACGTCAACACAGCACAGACCTCGACAAGTCATAACTGAAGGACCACTGTTTAGTCCACACACACAGGACCTACCAGTCATAACTAGGACCTCTTGTATTAGGCCCATCAACAACAGCACAGGACCTACTACATCATAACTAGGACCTCTGTATTAGTCACAACCGATCACACCGCACGGACCTACTACAGTCATAACTAAGCCTACGTATAGTCACACAGCACAGGACCTCCTACAGTCATAACGAGGACATACTGTATTAGTCCACGTCCCACAAGCACAGGACCTACTACATTTCATAACTAGACCTACTGTATTAGTCCAGCACATCACAACATACAGGAACCTACTACATTCCATAACGAGGACTACTGTATTAGTCACATCACACAACACATGACCTACTACAGTCATAACTAGGACCTCTGTATTAGTCCCCACAGCACAGACTACTACGTCATAACTGGACCTACTGTATTAGTCCGGTCACACAGCACAAGGACCTACTACAGTCATAAATAGGACCTACTGTACATAGTCACACTCACACTCACAGACCTAATACGTCCCGAAACTAGGACCTACTGCTTAGTCACAACTCACACAATCAAACAGGACCTACTACAAGTCATAAACTGGACCTACTCGTAATTATTCACACACACCCCCGACCACTACTTCAATAACTAGGACTACTGTATTAGTCCCACAGCACAGGAAACCTATACAGTAATAACTAGGACCTACTGTATTAGTCCCACAGCACAGCAGGACTACTACAGTCAACTAGGCCTACGGTATTGTCCCACAGCACAGACCTTACTACAGTCCATAACTAGGACCTCCGTATAGTCCCACAGCACAGGACCTACTACAGTCTAACTTAGGACCTACTGTATTATTCCCATCACACATCCACAGGACCTACTCAAGTCATAACTAGGACCTACTGTATTAGTCCCCAGCACGGACCTAACTACGTCATACAGGACCTACTGTATTAGGTCCCACCACACAGACCTACTACAAGTCATAACTCGGACCTACTGTATTAGTCCCACAGCACAGGACCTACTACAGTCATAACTAGGACCTACTGTATTAGTCCCCACAGCACAGGACCTACTACAGTCATAACTAGGACCTACTGTATTAGTCACGTCACACAGCACAGGACCTACTACAGTCATAACTAGGACCTACTGTATTAGTCACATCACACAGCACAGGACCTACTACAGTCATAACTAGGACCTACTGTATTAGTCCCACAGCACAGGACCTACTACAGTCATAACTAGGACCTACTGTATTAGTCACATCACACAGCACAGGACCTACTACAGTCATAACTAGGACCTACTGTATTAGTCACCACAGCACAGGACCTACTACAGTCATAACTAGGACCTACTGTATTAGTCACATCCCACAGCACAGGACCTACTACAGTCATAACTAGGACCTACTGTATTAGTCACACACAGCACAGGACCTACTACAGTCATAACTAGGACCTACTGTATTAGTCCCACGCACAGAACCTACTACGTTCATAACTGGACACTACTGTATTAGTCACATCACACAGCACAGACTACTACAGTCATAACTAGGACCTACTTTATTAATCACATCCACAGCACCGGACTACACATCCAAACTAGGACCTACTGTACTTAGTCCCCACAGCACAGAGGACCCTACTACATCATAACTAGGACCTACTGGATTAGTCCCCAGCACAGACCTACACAAGTCTAACTAGGGACCTACTGGGTATTAGTCACAACAGTCACAACAGCACAGGACATCTTACAGTCATAACTAGGCCTACTGTATTATGTCACCCGCACAGGACCAACTACAGTCATAACTAGGACCTACTGTAATTAGTCCACGTCCCACAGCAAGGACCTACTACATTCATAACTGGACCTACTGTAATTAGTCCACATCACACAGCACAGACCTACTACGTCATAACAGGACCTACTGTATTAGTCCCACAGCACAGACCTACTACAGTCATAACTATGACCTACTGTATTAGTCACATCACCACAGCACAGGGACCTACGACAGTCATAAACCTAGGACTACTGTAGTAGTCACGTCACACAGCACAGGACCTACTCCAGGTCCCCCATCACTAGGAACTTACTGTATTAGTCACGTCACACAGCACATACCTACTACAGTCATAACTAGGACCTAACTGTATTATTCACACCAGCACAAAGACCTACTACATTCATAAATAACTCGCCCCTCTGTATTTCACATCACAAGCCACAGGACCTATACTCAGGCATAACTAGGACCTAGCTTTATTAAAGTCACGTCACACAGCACAGACCTACTACATCATAACTAGGACCTACTGTATTGTCCACACACACAGCACAGGACCTACTACCGTCATAACTATTAACTGGGAAGGAACTACTCTATTAGTCACGTCCACAGCACAGGACCTACTACGTCATAACTAGGACCTAACTAGTATTAGTCACACAGCACATGACTACTACAGTATACCTAGGACCTACTGTATTAGTCCCCACAGCAACAGACCTACTACAGTATAACTAGGACCTACTGTAATTAGTCCCACAGCACGGACATACTACAGTCCATAACTAGACCTACGGATTAGTCCGTCACACAGCACAGGAACCTACTACAGTCCATAACTAGGACTACTGTAATTATCCCCAACAGCACAGGACCTACTCAGTCATACTAGGACCTACTGTATTCGTCCCACACAAGCACAGGAACCTACTACAGTCATAACGAGGACCTACTGTATTAGTCCCACAGCACAGTACCTACTACAGTCATAACTGGACCTATGTATTATCACAATCACACAGCAAAGGACTACTAGCAGTCATAACTATGGACTACTTGTATTAGTCCCAGCACAGACCCTACTTACAGTCATAACTTAGGACCTACTGTATTAGTCCCACACACAGTGACCTACTAACAAGTCATAAACTAGGCGTCTACTGTATTAGTCACATCACAACAGCACAACAGGCCTACTACAGTCATAATCGTTCAGGACTCTGTATTAGTCACGTCAACACACACGCACAGGACCTACGAAGTCATAACTACGGACCTACTGTATTGTCACGTCAACACAGAACAGGACCTACTAATTCCATAACTAGGACCTACGTATAGTCCCCAAGCACAGGACCTACTACAGCATAACATGACCTACTGTATTAGTCACAATCAACAGCACAGGACCTATCTACAGTCAATAACTAGGACCTACGTATTAGTTAGTCACGTCACACAGTCACAGGACCTACTACAGTCAAACTAGGACCTATGTATTGTCACATCACCCAGGCACAGACCTTAACTACAGTCATAACTTAGGACCTACTGTATTAGTCACGTCACACATCACATGACCTACTACGTCATACCTAGGGACCTACTGTATTTTCACGGTCACACATCACAGGACCAACTAACAAACAGGTCATAACTAGAACCTACTGTATTCGTCACACAGCACAGGACCTACTACAGTCATAACTAGGACCTACTGTATTATTCCCCCAAGCACGACCTAACACATTCATAACTATGACCTACTGTATTAGTCCCACAGCACAGGACCTACACCGTCATAACTAGGACCGAATGATTAGTCACGTCACACCAGCACAGGACCTACTACAAGTCATAACTAGGACATACTGTATTAGTTCCCTCACACAGCAAGGACCATACTACAGTCATAACTAGGACCCACTGTATTAGTCACAAAACACAGCACATGGACCTACTACAGTCCTAACTAGACCTACTGTAATGTCGTCCCACAGCACAGGACCTACTACAGTCATACTAGGACCTACTGTATTATTCACATCACAACAGCCAGACCTACTACAGTCATAACTAGGACCTACTGTATTAAGTCACGTCACAACAGCACAAGGACCTACTACAGTCATAACTATGACCTACTGTATTAGTCACTCACACAGCAACAGGACCTACTACGAGTCATACTGGACCTACTGTATTAGTCAACACAGCACCGACCTACTACCGTCATAACTCGGACCTACTGTATAGTCACTCAACAGCACGACCTACTACATCATAACGAGGACCTCTGATATTCGTCACGTCACACAGCACCGGACGCTACTACAGTCATAACTAGTACCTACTGTATTAGTCCATCACACAGCACAGGAAACCCTACTACAGTCCAAACTAGGACCACTGTATTAGTCACGTCACATCAGCCACAGGACCCACTACATTCCTAAATAGTACCTACGTATTATCCACGTCACACAGCACAGGACCTACTAACAGTCAACACTAGACTACTGTATGAGTCACACGCAGCAGGACATACACAGTCATAACTAGGACCTACTGTATAGTCCCCACAGCACAGGCCCTACTACAGTCATAATAGGACCTACTGTATTAGTCCCACAGCACATGGACGCTACTACATTCATAAAACTATGACCCTACTGTATTATCACAATCACCATCACATGACAGGACCTACTACATCATAACTAGGACCTTCTGTATTATCACACAGCCACGGACCTACTACAGTCCATAACTAGGACCTTACTGTATTAGTCACGTCCACAGCACCAGGACCTACTACAGTCATAACAGGACCCTACTGTATCTGCTCACATCACACAGCACAGGACTACTATCAAGTCAAACGAGACCTACTGTATTAGTCCCCAGCAACGAGACCTACTACAGTCCATATACTAGGACCTACTGTATTAGTCACATTCACCCGCACAGTACCTACTACAGTCATAACTACGTACCCTCTGTATTAGTCACGTCACACAGCACAGTACACTCAGTCATAACTAGGACCCGTACTGGTATTAAGTCCGTCACAAGCACAGACCCACTACAGTCATAACTAGGACCGTATGGTATTATTCACACGCAACAGGAACTACTAAGTCATAACTCGGACCTACTGTGGTATTAGTCACATCACACCAGCCCAGGACCTACTACAGTCATAACTAGACCACTGTATTAGGTCACGTCACAACACACAGGACCTACTACAGTCCATAACGAGGACCTCTGTATTAGTCCATCACCAACAGCACAGGACCTACTACAGTCATAACTAGGACCTACGCTATTAGTCACGTCACACCCACAGGCCACTACAGCATAACTAGACCACTGTTAGAGTCACACAAGCACAGGACCTACTACATCATAACTAGGACCTACTGTAATTATCCCACAGCACAGGACCTACTACAGTCTAACCTAGGACCTACTGTATTAGTCCCACAGCAACATGAACCTACTAAGTATAACTAGACCTACTGTATTAGTCACGTCAACACACAGCACCGGACCTACTACATTCATAACTAAGGACCACTGTATTAGTCCATACACCGCAAAGGACCTACTACCTCATACTAGGGGACCTCTTCTGAGTCCCACACAGCACAGGACTACTACATCATAACTAGGACCTACTGTATTAGTCCCACAGCACAGGACCTACTACAGTCATACCTGACATCTGTATTTAGTCAACAGAATCACCCAGCACAGGACCTACTCAGTCATAACAGGAACCTTAACTGTATTAGTCACGTCACACATGCACAGTATACCTACTACATTCATAACTAGGACCTACTGTATTAGTCCACGTCACAAAGCACAGACCTACTACAGTCATAACTAGGACCTACTGTATTAGTTCACACAGCACAGTAACCTACTACAGTCATAACTAGGACCTACTGTATTAGTTCACATCACACGCACAGGAAACCACTACCGTCATAACTAGGACCCACTGTATTAGTAGTCACGTCACACATCACAGACCCTACTACAGTCCATAACTGAGGACCTACTGTATAGTCCATCACACAGCACAGGACCTACTACATCATAACTCGGACTACTGTACTTAGTCACGTCACACATCACAGGACCCTACAGTCATAACTAGGACCTACTGTATTATCCACGTCCACAAAGCACAGGACCTACTACAGTCATAACTAAGGACCTACTGTATTCGTCACACAGCAACAGGGACCTACTACAGTCCATAACTAGGACCTACTGTAAATTAGTCCCCCACGCACAGGAACCTACTACAGTCATAACTAGGACCTACTGTATTAGTCCCCAGCCCAGGAACCTCCTACAAGTCATAACTAGAACCTACTTTATGGTCACGTCACAAACCCAGCACAGGGAACCTACTACAGTCATAACTAGGACCTACTGCTGTATTATTCACATCACACAGCAATGACCTACTACGTCCATACTAGGACCTACGTATTAGTCACACCACACAGCCAGGGCCGGTTACTACAGTCATAACTAGGACCTACTACTGTATAGTCTCCCCTACACAGGACCTACTACAGTCCATAACTAGGACCTACTGTATTAAGTCACATCACACAGCACAGGGACCTACTACAGTAATAACTTAGGCCTACTGTATAGTCCCACGTCACACAGCACAGGACCTACTACAGTCTAACTAGGAACGCTACTGTATTAGTCACGTCACACAACACAGGACTACTACAGTCCTAACTAGGACCTACTGTATTAGTCCACACACAGCCTACTAAGTCATAACTAGGACCTACCTGTATTGTGTCACCTCACACAGCACAGGACCTACTTACTACATCCCATAATAACTGGACCTACTTACTGTATTAGCCCTCACACAGCACAGGACCTACTACGTCATAACTAGGACCTACTGTAATAGTCACATCCCACAGCACAGACCTACTACTACATTCCATCCTAGTACCTACTGTATTAAGTCACGTCACAAAGCACAGGACCTACTACAGTCCATAAATATGACTACTGACTGTATTAGTCACGTCACCAAAGCACAGGACCTACTACAGTCATAACTAGGAACCCTACTGTTGTAGTCACACACGCACAGGACCTACTACAGTCATAACTTGAACCTACTGTATTAGCCCAACCGCAACAGGCCCTACGACAGTCATAACTAGGACCTACTGTATTTAGCCCCCGACCAGGACCTACTACAAGTCATAACTAGGACCTACTGTAATTAGTCCGTCACACGCACATGACCTACACGTCATAACTAGACCTACTGTTATTAGTCACATCACACAGCAAAGGACTACTAACAGTCATAACTAGGAGCCTACTGTATTAGTCACACACGCGGGGCGGAGTTGGGGGGCAGCACAGGAACCTACTACAGTCATACCTAAGACCTAACTAATAGAGGGGCAGGGTAAGGTATTAGTCACCATCACACAGCACAGGACCTACTACAGTCATAACTAGTACCTACTGTATTAGTCAACAGCAGCACATACCTCTACAGTCATAACTAGGACCTACTTGTATTAGTCACGTCCCCCCAGCACAGGACCTACTACAGTCTATAACAGGAGCTACTGTATTACGTCACATCACACGCACAGTACCGACTACAGTCATAACTAGGACCTATACTTTATGTCCCCACAGCAACAGGAACCATACTACAGTCATAACTAGGACCTACTGTCTTAGTCACATCACACAGCACATGACCTAACTACAGTCATAACAGGACCTACGTATTAGTCACGTCACACAGCACAGGACCTTTAACTACTACAGTCATAACTAGGACCTACTGTATTTAGTCACGTCACACAGCACAGGACCTACTACGTCAAACTATGACCTACTGTATTAAGTCACACAGCACGGCCTTACTACCGTCCATAACTAGGACCTACTGTATTATCACAACATCACACAAGCACAGGACCTACTACAGTCATAACTAGGGGGACCTACTGTATTAGTCCACCACACACACAGGACCTACTACAGTCCATAACTAGACTCTACTGTCTTAGTCACATCACACGCATAGGACCTACTCGTCATAACTATGAACCTACTGTAGTAGTCACGTCACACAGCACAGGACCTACTCAGTCATAACTAGGACCTACTGTATTAGTCACGTCCAACAGCACAGACCTACTACAGTCATAACTAGGACCTACGATTTAGTCACACCGCACGGGGACTACTACAGTCATAACTAGGAACCTACTGTATTAGCCACATCACACATCACAGGACCTATCAGTCCTAACTAGGACCACTTATTTAGTCACATCACACAGCACAGGACCTACTACATCATAAATTAGGACCTACTGTAATTAGTCACCACAGCACAATGACCTACTACATTCATAACTAGACCTACTGTATTAGTCACGTCCCACAGCACATGACCTACTACAAGCATAACTAGGACCTACTGTATTAGTTCCACATCACCCAGCACAGGAACTACTATCTACAGTCATAACTAGGAACCTACTGTAATTAGTCCCACAGCACAGGACCTACTACATCATAACTTGACCTACTGTATTAGTCCCAACAGCAACAGGACCTACTACTACAGTCAAACTAGGAACCTACTGTAATTTAGTCCCACACACAGACCCTATAAACAGTCATAACTAGACCTCCTGTATTAGTAGTCACATCACACCAGCACAGGAACCTACTACGTCATACTAGGACTCTCTGTATAGTCCCCAGCACTGACTTAACTACATCATAACGAGGCCTACTGTATTAGTCCCATCACCGCACATGACCTACTCAGTCAATAATAACTAGGACCCTACTGTATTAGTGTCACGTCACACGCACAGGACCTACTACGTCCATACACTAGGACCTACTGTGATTAGTCACATCACACAGCAACAGGACTACTACATTCATAATAGGACCTACTGTATTAGTCCCTCCCCACACGCCCAGGCCTACTACCGTCCATAACTAGGCACCTACTGTATTAGTCCCCACCTCACAGGACCTACTACTTCATAACTGGACCGTACTGTTTATCACATCACACAGCATCAGGACCTCTACATCATAACTAGGACCTACTGTATTTAGTCACGTCAACACCAGGAACCTACTACAGTCATCACTAGGACCTACTTTATTGTCACATCACACACAGCAACAGGACCTACTACAGTTCATAACTAGGACAACTGTAATTAGTCCCACAGACAGGGACCTCCTACAGTCATAACTAGGACCTACTGTATTAGTCCCACATCACAGGACCTACTACAGTCATAACTAGGACCTACTGTATTAGTCCCCACAGCACAGGACCTACTATGCTCTAACTAGGACCTACGTATTAGTTCACATCACACAGCACAGACCTACTACCGTCATAACTAGGACCTACTGTATTTAGTCCCACGCAAGGACTTTACTACAGTGCTAACTAGGACCTCTGTATTATCAGCATCACAACAGCACCTGACCTACTACAGTCAATAACTAGGACCTACTGTATTAGTCACGTCACACACACAGACCTCTACATCATAGCTAGGGGACCTACTGTATTCGTCACATCACACAGCACAGGACCTACTGACAGTCATAACTAGCCTACTGGTATTATTGCCCACAGCACAGGACCTCCTACAGTCATACTAGGCCTACTGTATAGTCCCCCACAGCAAAACAATGACCTACTACATTCATAACTAGGAACCTCACTGTAATTAGTCACATCACACAGCACAAGGACCTACTACCGTCATAACTAGGACCTACTGTATTTAGTCACGTCACAACACAGCACAGGGACCTACTCGTCATAACTAGGACCTACTGTTTAGTCACATCACACCCAGCACAGGACCTACTACATTCCCATAACTAGACCTACTGTATTAGTCCCCACAGCAACAGGACCTACTACCAGTCGAACTAGAGTACCTACTGTTATTAAGTCCCACAGCACAGGACCTACTAAGTCATAACTAGGACCACTGTATTAGTCACGTCACCACAGCAACAGGACCTACTACATCATAACTAGGACCTACTGTTATTAGTCACGTCACACAGCACAGGACCACTCAGTCATAACAGTACCTACTGTATTAGTCCCACCACAGCACAGGACCTACTACACGTCATAACTAGGACCTACTGTATTAGTCACACCTCACCAGCACAGGAACCTACTACATCCATAACTAGTACTACTTGTATTAGTCCACCGCAGAGACATTTCCTACTACATCAAACTAGAACCTACTGTATTAGTCCCACAGCACAGGACCTACTCAGTCATAACTAGTCCTACTGTATTGTCCCACAGCACGGACCTACTAAGTCCATAACTAGAGTACCTACTGTTATTAGTCCCATCACACATCACAGGACCTACTACAGTCATAACTAGACCTACTGTATTAGTCCCACAGACCCACCTACTACAGTCCATAACTAGGACCTACTGTATTAGGCCCACAGCACAGGACCTACTACAGTCATAACTAGGACCTACTGTATTAGTCACACAGCACAGACCTACTACAGTCAGAACTAGGACCTACTGTATTAGTCACCTTGCACAGGACCTACTACAGTCAATAACTTGACCTACTGTATTAGTCACACAGCACGACCTACGAAGTCATAACTAGGACCTACTGTAATTAGTCACACAGCACAGGACCTACTCTACGTCATAACTAGGACCTACTGTATTAGTCACACGCACAGACCTTACTACATCATAACTAGGACCGTACTTATTAGTCACACAGCACAGGAACCTACACGTCATAACTAGGACCTACTGGTATTAGTCACATCACACAGCACAGGACTACTACAGTCATAACTATAAAGGACCTACTGTATTAGTCCACAGCACAGGACCTACTACAGTCATAACTAGGACCTACTGTATTAGTCACGTCCACACAGCACAGGACCGACTACAAGTCAATAACTAGGACCCTACTGTATTAGTCCCACAGCACAGGACCTACTACCGTCATAACTGGGACCTACTGTATTAGCACATCACACAGCACAGGAACCTACTACAAGTCATAACTCTGACTACTGTATTAGTCCAATCACACGCACGGAACTACTACGCCAGTCATAACGAGGACCTACTGTATTAGTCCCAACAGCACAGGGACCTTACTACAGTCATAACTAGGACCACTTAATTAGTCCACACGCACCAGGACCTACTACAGTCATAACTAGAACCTACTTGTAATTAAGTCACATCACACACACAGGACCTACTACAGTCATAACTAGGACCTTACTGTATAGTCCCAGCACAGGACCTACTACATTCAAAACTAGGACCTACTGTATTAGTCCCTCACACAGCACATGCCTACTCACAGCATAACTAGACCATACTGTATTGTCACATCACACAGGCACAGTACCTCCTACAGTCATAACTAGGACCTACTGTATAGTCACAATCACACAGCCGCAGGACCTACTGACAGTCCTAACTAGGACCATACTGTATTAGTCACGTCACCAGCACAGGACCTACTACAGTCCCTAACTAGGACCTACTGTATTAGTCCCATCCCAACACAGCACAGACCTATTACAGTCATACGAGGACCTACTGTATTAGTTCACATCACACAGCAAAGGCCTACTACAGTCTAACTAGACCTACTGTATTAGCCCACAGCACAGGACCTACTACAGGCCCATAACTAGGACCTACTGTATTATCACATACCCAGCACAAAAAGGACCTACTACATTCATAACTAGGAACCTACTGTAATTAGTCACCAACAGCAAAGGACCTACTACTACAGTCAACTAGGACCAACTGTATTAGTCCGTCACAACAAGTCACAGGACTACTTACAGTCTACTAGGACCTACTGTATTAGTCCCCAGCACAGGGACCCTACTACATCATACAGGACCGTATGTAATTAGTCACCCAGCAACAGGACCCCTACATCATCACGAGGACCTACTGTATTTTCACGACGTCAAAACAGCACAGACCTACTACAGTCATCACTAGGACCTACCTTTATTAGTCACACAAGCAGCAAGGACTACTACAGTCATAACTAGGACCTACTGTATTAGTCACATCACAACAAGCACAGTACCCTACTACAGTCCATAAACTAGGACCTTACTGTATTAGTCCCCCACATCACAGGCCTACTACAGTCTCACTAGGACCTAACGGTATTAGTGTCCCATCAAACAGCACAGGACCGACTACAGTCATAACTAGGACCTACTGTATTAGTCACTTACACGCACAGGACCCTACTACAGTCATAACTAGGACCATGTATTAGTCCCACAGCACATGACCTACTACAGTCATAACAGGACCTACTGTATGTCCACAGCACCGGACCTACGACATTCATACTGGACCTACTGTATTAGTCCCACGCACAGGACCTACTACCGTCATAACTAGTACCTCCTGTATGAGTCACAATCCACCACAGGCCTCTACCGTCATAACTATGGAACCTACTTTAATTATCCCCACAGCACAGGACGCTACTACATTCTACCTGGAACCCTACTGTATTAGTCCCACAGCACAGGACCTACTACAGTCATAACTGTACCCTCTGTATTAGTCCCACAGCACCGGACCTACTACATCCTAACTGGACCTACGGTATTAGTCACATCACACAGCACGGCCTACTACAGTCATACTAGGACTACTGTATTAGTCCACGTCACACAGCACAGGAACCTACTACATTCATAACTAGACCTACTGTATTATCACGTCACGAAGCCTGGCCATGACCTATCCGTCCGCTTCCCAACTATGACCTACTTATTAGTCACACACACAGCACCGGACCTACTACAGTCATAACTAGGGACCTACTGTATTAGCCACTCACACAGCACAGGACCTCCTACAGTCATAACTAGGACCTACTGTATTAGTCCACGTCACACAGCACAGGACCTACTACAGTCATAACTATACCTACCTTGTATTAGTCACACGCACAACGCACAGGGACCTACTACATATAACTAGGACCTACTGTATTAGGCACAGCAGCACAGGCCTACTAACATCATAACTATGACCTACTGTATTGTCACATCACACCGCACAGACCTACTACATCATAACTAGGACCTACTGTATTAGTCACACAAGCACAGGACCTACTACAGTCAATAACTAGACCTACTGTATTATCCCACAGCAACAGTACTACTACAGTCCATAACTAGGACCTACTGAATTAGTCACACGCCCGGACCTACTACAGTCATAACTAGGACCTTCTGTATTAGTCACATCAACACAGCACAGGACCTACTACAGTCCTAACTAGGACCTACGGTTTAGTCAACACAGACAGGACCTACTACAGTCAGAACTAGGACCTAACTGTATTAGTCACATCACACAGCACAGGACTACTACCCATCATACTAAGGACCTACTGTATTAGTTCACACAGCACAGGACCTACTAAGTCATAACTAGGACCTACTGTATTAGTCCACAGCACAGGACCTACTACAGTCATAACTAATGACGCTCCTGTATTATTTCCCAACAGCACAGGCCCTACTACAGTCTAACTAGGACTCACTGGATTAGTCACATCACACAGCACATGGACACTACAGTCCATAACTAGGACCTACTGTATTAGTAGTCACGTCACCGAGCACAGGAACCTACTCCAGGCATAACTATGCACCTACTGTATTAGTCCCGTCCCACAGCACAGGGACCTACTACAGTATAACTAGGACCTAACTGTATTAGTCCCCATCATCACAGGCCCTACTACAGTCTAACTGGACTATTTTAAATTAGTCCCACGAGCACAGGACCTACTACAGCATCACTAAGGACCTACTGGATTAGTCACGTCCCACATCACGGGCCTACTACAGTCATAACTAGACCTACTGTATTAGTCCCACACCACATGACCTACTAACACAGCTAACTAGGACCTACTGTATTAGTCCACAGCACAGGACCTACTACAGTCATAACTTTAGGAACCTACTTGTATGAGTCACATCACACAGCACAGGACCTACTACAGTCATACTAGGACACTGTATTAAGTCACGTCCAACAGCAACGACCTCACTACAGGCATAACTGGACCTACTGTTTAGTTCACGTCACAACACAAACAGCACAGACCTACTACAGTCCATAACAGGACCTACTGTATTAGTCACATCACACAGCACAGGACCTACGACCGTCATAACTAGGAACCTACTTATTAGTCCCCACACACAGCACAGACTCTACAGTCATAACTAGGACCTACTGTATTCGTCACGTCACAACAAGCACTGTACCTACTACAGTCCTTACTAGGAACCTCTGTATGAGTCCACGTCACACAGCCCAGGACCTACTACAGTCATAACTAGGACCTACCTATAGTCCACAGCACCGGACCTACTACAGTCATAACTAGGACCTACTGTACTATTCACAATCACACAGACAGGACCTACTACAGTCATAACTAGGAACCTACTGTATTAGTCACACAGCTCGGACCTACTACAGTCATAACTAGGACCTACTGTATTAGTCCCCACACACAGGACCTACTACAGTCATAACTAGGACCTACGTACTGTATTAAGTCCCCACGTCCAGGACCTACTACATCAGAACTAAGGACCTACTGTATAGTCACGTCCCCACAGCACAGACGCACGACTGTCAAACTAGGCCCTACCTGTATTAGTCCCACAGCACAGACCTACTACAGTCATAACTATGACCTACTGTATTGTCCACAGCACAGGACTACTACAGTCATACTAGGACCTACTGTATTGTCCCACAGCACAGTACCTACTACATTCATAACTAGGACCTACTTGTATTATTCCCCACAGCACAAGGACCTCTAATACAGTCTACTAGGACCTCTGTAATTAGTCCGTCCCACAGCACATGACCGTACGACATTCATAACTAGGCCCTACTGGTATAGTCCACACAGCACAGTACCTACTACAGTCATAACTGGACCTACTGTATGAGTCCACGTCACACAGCCAGACCTACACAGGTCAAACTCGGGACCTACTGTTTAGTCACGTCACACGCACAGGACCTCTACCAGTCATAACTAGGACCTACTGTATTAGTCCCCCCACAGCACAGACCTACTACAGTCATAACCAGACCGACTGTAATTAGTCCACAGCACAGGACCTACTACAGTCCATAACTGGACCTACTGTATTAGTCACATCACACAGCCAGGACCTACTACAGTCAGACTATGGACCTACTGTAATTAGTCCCCACACCGGACCACTAACAGTTCATAACTAGGACCTACTGTATTTAGTCACGTCCAACACAGCAACAGACCTCTACAGTCATAACGAGACCTACTGTATTAGTCACGTCCACAGCCCATGACCTACTACAGTCATAACTAGGACCTACTGTATTAGTCCCACAGCACAGGACCTACTACAGTCATAACTAGAGGACCTACTGTATTAGTCCTCACACACACAGCACAGGACCTTACTAACAGTCTAACTATTACTAGGACCTACTGTATTAGTCCCCACAGCACAGACCTACTACGTCATAACTAGGACCCTACTGTCTTATCCCACAGCACAGGACCTACTACAGTCATAACTAGGACTAACTGTATTAGTCACATCCACAGCAAAGGACCTACTACAGTCCATAACTAGGACCTACTGTATCGTCCACGTCACACAGCACATGGACCTACTACAGTCTACTAGGACCTAATATTAGTTCCCACAGCACAGGACCACTACAGTCAAAAACTAGGACCTACTGTATTAGTCACGTCACACGCACAGACCTACTACAGTCTACTATGACCTACTGTATTAGTCCCACAGCCACAGGACCTACTACATCATAACTAGACCTACTGTTTAGTCCCCCAACAGCACAGGACCTACTACAGTCATAACTAGGACCTACTGTATTAGTCACATCACACAGCACAGGACCTACTACAGTCATAACTAGGACCTACTGTATTAGTCACATCACACAGCACAGGACCTACTACAGTCATAACCAGGACCTACTGTATTAGTCCCACAGCACAGGACCTACTACAGTCACCATCCTTTCTTCTCTACTCTCCTTTTCAAGTTTAATGTGTTTAGTTCAAGCATGCTAACCTATGAAATTAAACTGGATGTGGTTATTGGCATCTTTTCTTTATTCCAGGGAGCTTCAACGCTAGCACCAATCTGCTGTTGTTCACTGAGCACAACCTGGGTGAGTGAGGCGCGTGTGTGTTCCCAGGTTACCCTTCATCACTCTACTCCTATCATCTTCTTCACTCTCTCTCTGAAAGGCCTGCTCTCCCCACAGAGTTGACCTACCTTTCTCTCTGAAAGGCCTGCTCTCCCCACAGAGTTGACCTACCTTTCTCTCTGAAAGGCCTGCTCTCTCCACAGAGTTGACCTACCTTTCTCTCTGAAAGGCCTGCTCTCCCCACAGAGTTGACCTACCTTTCTCTCTGAAAGGCCTGCTCTCCCCACAGAGTTGACCTACCTTTCTCTCTGAAAGGCCTGCTCTCCCCACAGAGTTGACCTACCTTTCTCTCTGATAGGCCTGCTCTCCCCACAGAGTTGACCTACCTTTCTCTCTGAAAGGCCTGCTCTCCCCACAGAGTTGACCTACCTTTTTCTCTGAAAGGCCTGCTCTCCCCACAGAGTTGACCTACCTTTCTCTCTGAAAGGCCTGCTCTCCCCACAGAGTGGACCTACCTTTCTCTCTGAAAGGCCTGCTCTCTCCACAGAGTTGACCTACCTTTCTCTCTGAAAGGCCTGCTCTCCCCACAGAGTTGACCTACCTTTCTCTCTGAAAGGCCTGCTCTCCCCACAGAGTTGACCTACCTTTCTCTCTGAAAGGCCTGCTCTCTCCACAGAGTTGACCTACCTTTCTGTGTAGCAAAGTTTTCATAACTTTCAAATGTAGTAATATGTAGACTAAAGAGGCCTTGACAGCGTTCTGCTAATAAAATGGACCATTAATTAAAGCTGCAATATGTAACTTTTTCAGTGACCCAACAACATTCACATAGTGACTTGAGTTCCATATCTGTTATTTGTCTAAGAAGCGGTAGGTCTGTTCTATCATTTCTATGCTTCCCATTATTAAGTTCCATTTTTGATATAAACCATTATTTTTAGGCAGCTCTAAAGACACATGATGATATGAAGAAAATGTATTTCACAACAAAAGAGTTGTGCTACTTTGTGTTATCTGGCCAAGCCGTAGGCTGTAGGCTAGTTCATTTAGAAGACAAGATATGCTTATAAGTCCATTGCCATTATTTAATATTATATGGTTTTATAGTAAAAATAACATAATTGAAATATTTTTCCCATTCCGGAGCGAGTGCGCATATGAAGTGGCTATGTTGAGCGTAAAAGTGATCATTTGAAGCAGGTCCTATATGCTAGATTTAGCAACTTTAGTTATTTGGCAACTTTAGTTTTGAATGATACAAACCTTAGAATTTACATTTGAGTCATTTAGCAGACGCTCTTATCCAGAGCGACTTACAGTTAGTGAGCACATACATTATTTGTTTAATTTCCATACTGGCCCCCTGTGGGAATCGAACCCACAATGCTGGCGTTGCAAACGTCATGCTCTACCAACTGAGCTACATCCCTGCCGGCCATTCCCTCCCCTACCCTGGACCAATTGTGCGCCGCCCCATGGGTCTCCCGGTCGCGGCCGGCTACAACAGAGCCTGGATTCGAACCAGGATCTCTAGTGGCACAGCTAGCACTGCTATGCAGTGCCTTAGACCACTGCGCCACTAGAAATCTAAACTTATGCTGAACAAAAATATAAACGCAACATGCAACAATTTCAAATATTTTACTGAGTTACAGTTCATATAAGGAAATTAGTCAATTGAAATAAATTCATTAGGCCCTAATCTATGGATTTCACATGACTGGGCAGGGGAGCAGCCATGGGTGGGCCTGGGAGGGCATAGGCCCACCCACAGCCAATCAGAAATAGTTTTATTACAGACAGAAAGATTTCTCAGCACCCTCCCCCCAACCTCCCTTACATGTTGCATGTATAGTTTTTGTTCAGTGTAAATGGGCTAAATGATGCGACTACAGGCTTATTGATGATTTGAGAAAGTACAAAAAAAAGCTTGCGCTCTGTTCCTCGCCTCAGGCTGCACACGCTCTTCTCTCATCAAGTGACCATAGTTTCACCCATCAGATTATTCTCAATTTAATCTTTGTCTTTACTAATATGTAAAATGTGTTCAGATTGAGAATGGCCCTTTATGAAATGGGCAGGAACAGGGGCAGGGGGAAAAAATACATGTCATCCGTATGCACTGGAATAGGGAATGGAGGCCGCGTTCCCACTGGTTTATGCAGGGTAGGATACTCCGTTTTTATAGAGGAGAATATGGATAATATGAGCAGCTGAGAAATAAAATGAGTAGCAGCTGGGATCCTCCTCTTTTGAGTAGCAACCATTAAAACTCTGCTTTCACACGGGATTGCATATGGAAATGTCTGGTTTTATAAGAATACTTATTTCACTCCATCAACCACTGTTTTGAGGAGTCTGCAGCCTCTCGCTGCACGACAGGTGATATTCCGCCCAAACGTTGTATGCCATGGGCTCTCCAACCTTTTCCCTGCAGCTACCCGGTGATTAGTTTGGGAAACCAAGTGAAATCTGTTCGGGCACAACGATAGTAAGATGTTTCACAACAATTTCATTAAACTGTTGACAGCCTTTATCTCTGCACAATCGATTAAGGAAAGAAGGAGAGAGGGGAGTGTACACTCTGGTGAGATGTTCTGTAGCTGAAGGTCATGTGTTAGCCTATTCATTATGAAAATATTTTTAAAAAACTTTTACTATGCTTTCAAAATCAAATAGAAATCAACTCTAACTCTGTAAGCCACCCTGCACAATCAATGAACCAACAGCATGGACAAGATCTATTTGTTCTCTCCCAGTGAACCAACAGCATGGCCTAGGCCTATACGTTCTCTCCCAGTGAACCAACAGCATGGCCTAGACCTATACGTTCTCTCCCAATGAACCAACAGCATGGCCTAGTCCTATACGTTCTCTCCCAATGAACCAACAGCATCGCCTAGACCTATACGTTCTCTCCCAGTGAACCAACAGCATCACCTAGACCTATACGTTCTCTCCCAATGAACCAACAGCATCGCCTAGGCCTATACGTTCTCTCCCAGAGTCGTGGATAGAAAGTTTGGAGTGTATCATAAGGTAACCAGTCCATCCAATTTGCTTCTGTGGACAGGTGTCTTTTATACAGGTAACAAACTGAGATTAGGAGCACTCCCTTTAAGAGTGTGCTCTTAATCTCAGCTTGTTACCTGTATAAAAGTCACCTGGTAGCCAGAAATCTTTCTGATTGAGAGGGGGTCAAATATTTATTTCCCTCATTAAAATGCAAATCAATTGATAACATTTTTGACATGCGTTTTTCTTGATTTTTGTTGTTGTTATTCTGTCTCTCACCTACCATTAAAATTATAGACTGATCATTTCTTTGTCAGTGGGCAAACATACAAAATCAGCAGGGGATCAAATACTTTTTTCCCTCACTGTACAGGCCTATGTGTATGTAAAATCCCTAATATGTGTATAGGTGTTTTGAATTAATCATCACCTTAGAAAGCTGTCCATTTTGTTTTGTTTGGCTTTGAAACAACATCCAAAGCGACCATATTTCCCACTCAGTTTCCCACTCACATTTTTCTTCAAATTGATCGATCACCGTGAAATGAGTTTTAAAAGCATGATACTGTTTTGATGATAAGTGTTTGATGTGATTTTTGATTGCATTGATGTCAGAGTGGTTAGAGGGATGATAGAGTGCTGAGTATCAGGCCGTTAGTGACTTGATGGTCATTAGCGAGTTTCCTGCCGGTGTGGCGGTAATAAGGTCACACCGATAGCCCTAACTGTGCCTAGGGGCAGTCTGGACTTTATCATATCATGCATGTCTCCATGTGTAGGCTCCATTCTGGCTCCATTTCTGTGAACACATACAAACATAGTCACTGTTTTATTACCAATGGCAGTTAGGATAGGTGATATCAGACACACAGACAATGTTCTATTACCAATGGCAGTTAGGATAGGTGATATCAGACACATAGTCACTGTTCTATTCCCAATGGCAGTTAGGATAGGTGATATCAGACACACAAACAGGTGCTATGTTGAACTCCCTCCTGTACTTCCTGTTCACCCACGACTGCGTGGCCGCGCACGACTCCAACACCATCAATAAGTTTGCAGACGACACGACAGTGGTAGGCCTGATCACCGACGACAATGAGACAGCCATAGTTTGTTAAATAGTTAACCAAAATAGCTACCCTGACTATTTGCTAATCTGACTATCTGCTACCCGGACTATCTGCTACCCGGACTATATGCTACCCGGACTATATGCTACCCGGACTATATGCTACCCGGACTATCTGCTACCCTGACTATCTGCTAACATGACTATCTGCTAATGTGACTATCTGCTAACGTGACTATCTGCTAACGTGACTATCTGCTAACGTGACTATCTGCTAACGTGACTATCTGCTAACGTGACTATCTGCTAACCTGACTATCTGCTAACCTGACTATCTGCTAACGTGACTATCTGCTAATGTGACTATCTGCTAACGTGACTATCTGCTAACGTGACTATCTGCTAACGTGACTATCTGCTAACGTGACTATCTGCTAACCTGACTATCTGCTAACGTGACTATCTGCTAACGTGACTATCTGCTACCCTGACTATCTGCTAACATGACTATCTGCTAACGTGACTATCTGCTAACCTGACTATCTGCTAACGTGACTATCTGCTAACGTGACTATCTGCTAACGTGACTATCTGCTAACGTGACTATCTGCTAACGTGACTATCTGCTAACGTGACTATCTGCTAACGTGACTATCTGCTAACGTGACTATCTGCTAACGTGACTATCTGCTAACCTGACTATCTGCTAACCTGACTATCTGCTAACGTGACTATCTGCTAACGTGACTATCTGCTAACGTGACTATCTGCTAACGTGACTATCTGCTAACCTGACTCTGACTATCTGCTAACGTGACTATCTGCTAACGTGACTATCTGCTAACGTGACTATCTGCTAACGTGACTATCTGCTAACGTGACTATCTGCTAACGTGACTATCTGCTAACCTGACTATCTGCTAACCTGACTATCTGCTAACCTGACTATCTGCTAACGTGACTGTCTACTATTTTGCACTAACTTATTTGACTCATCACATACAACTGCTGCTACTGTTTACTATCTGTCACTGTATTCCTAGTTATATGTACATATCTACCTCAATTACCTCCTACCCCTGCACAGACTGTATATAGTCAAGTTATTGTTACTCATTGTGTATTTATTATTACTTACGTGTTTTACTTTTCTATTATTTCTCTATTTTCTTTCTCTCTGCATTGTTGGGGAGGGCTGTAAGGAAGCATTTCACTGTTAGTCTACACCTGTTGTTTAAAAAGCATGTGACAGATCTAATTTGATTTGAGTTTCAACAGGTCAGATAAAACCTACCCATTTATGGTCTCCCCATCAAACAACCAGCAGGTGGTGTTGACTGGGCCGGCCCATGACAGGGTGACATAATTGACAGCCAAGCGGGTAAATTGCATTTTGTTCTAAAGACAACGCTTTTTCCTAAAGACCTTCACAACCTAAATGTCTTTACTAGTTGCACTAGTTACCTGGTGAAGAAGCCGTCTGTGTTATCAGGGCCACAATCAGAGGCCTCTTGATGGCGTGTCCTTTTCATAGGAGTCCAGGGAGACC